TTATAGCCATCTCTTGTATAGAGGCGATGTCACCTCGACTCAAACGAGCTGATTCAGAGAGGAATCTGCTCCTATGTCTGTGAGCCAACTTTTTTTCCAACAAAAACGGCTTTCTTCCTCTTTAGGCCAAATAATGCGTCACATTTACACCAAAAACACATTTTCTCCAAGTTGACGTGATCCTAACACTTTTAGTCACTGACAAAAGCAGATAAACGGTATAGCTCCATGTGGTGTCTGCGGGACCAAACCACAGACATATACGCTGGACTCGGGAGCCGGGCTTGGGAACTGGCTGCGCACTGTGATTCGCTGTTTTGATTTGTCTATCACCTCCCGGCTTTTAGTATCAATATTATTTTTTATAATTTTTGACAACAAACTGCATACTTATTGTGTATTGTTTTCCCTGCTTTGACGACAGTATTTAAGAACCATTTTAAATATAAAGCAAACGGGCTTATGCGCGTCATATTTGGCATCAGTGCGGTAATCGTCACAGATGTGGACCCGAGCATTTCTCTGCCTCTCGAGGGGGAAGGAGACAGATCGCTCTCTAACTAAAGATTGACAGAATCAATGAAAAAACTACACTGAGCATGTGTATGAAGGCCAAATAGCACTGTAATCGTGTTTAAAGCAGAGAAAAGTCAAAAAGCGTAATATGGCACCTTTAAGAGAATGGAATATTCTGTATTGGTTAATTTGAAGAAGTAGACATGAATGAGATTTTAGAAATGGACATTTGAATTGTCATTTTGAGCTGACTCATGACATTCTGTTAACCGTGTGGCCTGAAATGTTTAACTAGAGGTTTTGCTTTGGAAACTGACATTTAATATGTAATATATTCAACGTTTGACCTTCCTTCATGCTGTTTTGTGACCTGGAGAGATGAAACACATTTAGAACTTTATTTGTTAATTCGAATGGAACAGTGTGTATGAACAGCAGACTTGTAAATGCAACGGATTGTAGCCTTGGGCTAATTCGCGTCCGATATCACATTCACAATTAGGCATTCATCCTAAAGCATTGTACTTTTTGTGGCAGTGTAAATTGGAACACAAGGAGGAAACGAGGAATATAGCGTGAGCTAAAGTGTTATAACAGTTTATCTATCAACTTTTAATTAAATCATGTTGTTTCCTGTAACCTGTCATAGGCTTTAATTAGTGTTGTGTTCAGTTCGAGCCTGTCATCGTTGTTGCTTCATAGTCCTTTGTGTAGGAATAAGGTGTACGTTTGGACACAGCTTGTTATCAGCTGTTGATCATCCTCAAAGCTCATGACAAATGTTTATTCCTTGCTTGTGGTATGTTTATGCCAATTGTGTTGAGATCTCTACCACAGCAATACTTTCACGGGACGGTTATGTGAAAGAGGCCTAGTTTATTTGTTTCGCAGCTAGTTACTACTACTGTCAAATGATTGACATTAATGCGATTGATCAGAATGAAATATTTGATTTTAATCGTCAACTCACGATTAATCTCAATCCCACATTTGTAACTATTGTAAATGTCCCTTGATTTTGCATACATGACGCTTGCTGCTGTATTTCAGTCCTCTGGCCTGTACTGTTCTCTACATTTCCTCATAGACTTCACAGCGACAGCCACACTTTTGTAATTGTGCGATATTAAAAAATTGCCCCGTAAAAAGGGTTACGTTAACGCCTATATTTACGTGTTTAATCGACGGCACTGATGGTTACAGCAAAATATGCAACTGATGCAACACATATACGTAGTTGTTGGGTCAATGTTTCTATGAACTGAAGTACTTATTACAAGCTTTTGTATGAAGGGGGCACTCGACAAATAAAGATTGATAGCAAATGCTCATCCCTGGGTGACCTTTTCCCTGCAGTGCAAACAGTTGCTGATTTCTTGTCACCAAAAACATTTTCACATTTGTTTGTGAAAATTAAAGACATATAAAAGAAAAGTTTCCTGATAATCAAAATGTTGTATGCCAATCAAACAGAACTGTGTCTTTAAATGTACTGAGAGTACTACCTAGGGCTGGGCGATAAAACGATAACGATATATATTGCGATAGACACGTGTTCGATATCAATAGAAAACGGGGTCGATAGAACTTTGATAGTTTCACTTCAGTCCGTTCGAAAAAAAACAGGAACAAAACACAGGAAGTAAAGTCGAGTCAGAAGCGCACGGCATTCTGGGGTATATAGGCAAAGGCTTCTCAGCCGACTACAAATCGCAAAACTTTCTGGGAAAAGAAAAAACAACCGCACCATGCGCTACGTCCATGGATCATGGATCTATTATAATAGCCATGGATCTAAAGATCGTGTTTCAATGCCGTGTCAATGGTTAAACACGTCCGTGCGAGGAACAGCATGTGCGGCGGGAGAGGCAGTGGGCAGAGACTCGAGACTGTAAACAAGGCTGCTAACATGTGTTAGCCGACACGACAAATGTATTTATTTACGTTTTAAAAAATTAATAAAAAACAATCAATATATATCGTTATCGACCGATATGAATTACTTATATTGTGATATAGTTTTCAGCCATATTGCCCAGCCCTAGTACTACCGTCACTTTAAAGGACAACTCACCCTCAAATCCACTATTTTGCGCTGATAAATGGTATAAATGAGTGTCTAATAGTGTTGTCTACATATCCTGGTCATAGTTTTTTCACTTTGGTGCAAATTAGTTGAAAGTTAAACTTTCTGCCTAAAACCGTCTGTGAGGCGCCATCTGCTGGCGACCTGTATTACTACATTTGAATTTTGAATCTGGCGCCAACACTGGCACAGAAGTTGGACCTGACGTCTGCAAGTTGGACCTGACGTCAGCAGCCCCCCGCCCAGAGCGATATAAACGGCCCAGTCTCGTTCACGCCCCCTTCAGTCCTCCAGGCTACGCCCATTTAGAGGAAGATTTGAACAGGAAATGTGTGTGACGTAAGCTCCGAGGAGCGGGGGTGAGAACCACTTTAATCCCACCTTATTTATATTTTTGCAATTTGCATCATTTCCGTTATTGAGTATTCACATTATGAGAACCATCTGAATTTTAATCACGGGCATGTTACAGTCAGTGTATTTTTTTAAACAGAAGTTTTGATAAGTTAAAGTTGAGCATTGCCTGTGATCTAAACATGTCTTTGAGCTGAATGTTGCTGTGCACTGTCCCTTTCAAATAAAGACTGACCAAACAAATAAATGGAGACATGTTTTTGTGCGCTGTCTGTGACGGTGCAGAGGACCTGACCTGAACATGCCCTACGCCCCAAGGAAGGGATCCAACACAGACCACATGACCTGGACCACTGACTCCTCCAGCTCTCATCCTTTCACCCACTCTCCCTGTGCCTGCTTCATAATTCTTGGGATTTATGTAGTTCACATGCATGAGAATTGACTTAGTGGATTGAGTGGCTCTGATTAGAGTGATGCATAATGAGATTCATGATGATCCAGTGATAATTGATCACCGTTAATGCTGATAATTCCTAAAAGCACCAGGTATTCTAAAGAAATATCAATTATATTTGTATAACCCTAAATGACAATAGCAGTCGTCTTGAAGGATTCAACAAAGTTTTTCATTCACCAACAACAGATCAGAGAATCAAGCTGTTAGAACACGTAGGAGCCATAGGGAGCCATAGGGAGCCATAGGGAGCCAATACATTTGAATACATGTCCATGAATGTCCCCGGCTCATCACTTATGATTAACATTGCCTGTATTGAGTAGTATGAATTCATAATTATATTTTCAATAATAATTTAAATCCACTAATGGGGGGAAAAAAGCCTTTTTCAATTTGAAAATTGACACGCAGAGTCTTTCACAACATTTTACAATGTTTTCATACAGAAGCAAAACGAGACAACAATGACTTTGGGAATGATAACTTCATATCACAATCAGCAAACACTCACAGGCTGAAATTATTTATCAAATCACTTTATTACTTTAAAAAAAGAGTTGACTACACTTGGATTAAACCTTGTCAAACTGTTACACACAGAACGCACAGAACTAATTGTGGCGCTTGTTTCACAGAGATGGATCTGCATGGTGTATATTTGGAATGTTTAGGAATGTTATGTCAAATATTAATGATTACTTGATTAATCATAGGCAACACTCAATAGATTAGTTTTGAGTAAAGTAATATATATAGCTGCAGCCCTAAACACACATGAAGATTATTTTCCTTCATAGATGCTCCCACGCAATTATTTTTCAGGGTTGCCTTCACATGTAGCACAGGCCTAACCTATTTGTGCATCCGCTCAAACAGCCCCTGGCCTCCTGGCGCTGGTATGTGGCTGGACATGCGCACACAGAGTGGCCTCGGGGTGGGCAGCCAGACTGCCTGCCTGATTGCTTTACAACTCCTCTGCCAGCAAGTTAGCCCCACTCATCAGTGTCCTCACAGGTCTTTGAAGAGAGGAAGTGGACTCTGATGGCTATGGCGAGCTCATAAAAAAATAGTCTTTTTATGGGGTAATATTTTCAATTAAACGAAGGCTTCATTTTTGTGGAAAGGAACTGCAGTTATCTATTTTTATACGTTTTTCTTTTTGAGTGAACTGTAAAAAAAACTTTGTCGTTAATAGCGGTTTTGATGTCGATTTTGGCTCTGTTGGAGTTATTCTAGTTTTCCTTGAATGCATATGTTTGTGTTTGGTTTCCTACATACATTCATGTCAATTGTTTATTTTCCTACAGTTTTGGCTCTAAGAGTAGGAGAGTTGTTTTTTATGTATTTAGTATCTTTTAGCTCTAACTCAACGTCTCATACAGGGCAGGGGGATGGTAGGCTGGTACTTTGCACCTTGTGTCATTAGGAGTAAACCACTAATTGTTTTAACCAATTAGTGACTGTTTTAACTAAATTTAAAGGATCATTTTTAATACCTGAATTATCTTAAATTGTTAATAATATAGTCTGTATTGATAACTTGTGTTAATTACTTTTCTTTCTCTCTCTCTCTTGTTCTTACAGCACCAGGCCTGAGTCCAGTGAACTCCACTCAAATGGAAAGGCTCCCTTTGACAGTCTACACCTCTCCTAGAACCTGAGGCCAACTTGGCAGAATGAGCTTCTGCCAGCAAGTATGATGGCCAAAAAGCAAGATGCCCGGACACCTACCTACAACCTGGTTGTAGTTGGGTTGTCTGGAACAGAGAAGGAGAAAGGCCAGTGTGGAGTGGGCAAGTCCTGCCTCTGTAACAGATTTGTCCGGCCAAGTGCAGATGACTTCTACCTGGACCACACCTCTGTCCTGAGCACAAGTGATTTTGGAGGCCGTGTGGTGAACAATGACCACTTCTTGTTCTGGGGAGAAGCAGCAAGGCCATCTGAGGAAGGCCAGGAGTGCCGCATGAATGTGGTGGAGCAGACAGAGTTTATCGATGACCAAACGTTTCAGCCACATCGTAGCACAGCTCTCCAGCCCTACATAAAGAGGGCTGCATCCCCCAAGCTTGCTTCTGCTGAGAAGCTAATGTATTTTTGCACAGATCAGTTGGGACTGGAGCAGGACTTTGAGCAGAAACAAATGCCAGAGGGAAAGTTAACAGTTGACGGCTTCTTACTCTCTATAGATGTAAGCAGAGGCATGAACCGTAGTTTTGAGGATCAGATGAAATTTATTACGAACTTGTACAACCAGTTAGCCAAAACAAAGAAGCCTGTGGTCATTGTTCTCACTAAATGTGATGAAGGTGTTGAGCGTTATATTAAAGACTCTCATTCTTTTGCCATAGCAAAGAAAAACTTGCAGGTTGTAGAAACTTCCGCTCGGTCTAATGTCAATGTGGATTTAGCTTTTTTAACACTAGTCCAGCTAATAGACAAAAGCAGGGGGAAACCTAAGATCATCCCTTACTTTGAGGCTTTGAAACTGCAGAGTCAACAAATTGCCTCAGCCAAAGATCGTTATGAGTGGTTGGTGAACCGAATTACAAAAAACCATAATGAAACATGGCCCAATGTCAGTCGCAAAATGCAAACTGCCCCAGAATATAAGGAATATGTCTTCCTGGAGGGGACGGCAAAAGCCAAGAAGCTGTTCCAGCAGCATGTGCACAGACTAAAACAGGAGCACATAGAGAAGAGAAGGAGGGCCTATCTGAGCACTCTGCCCCAGGCACTCTCTGTGCTCTTACCGGAGTTAGACGAGATCGACCACTTGAGCTGGTCTGGCGTTCAGAAAGTCTTGGAGACAAAAAGAGAGTTCTCCCAGTGGTTTGTTGTGTTAGATGACACTCCATGGGAAACCACTCCACACATTGACAACGTGGAGAATGATCGAATCCCTCAGGATCTGCTGGAAACTCCTGCTGCTCAAAGTATCTATGAAAGTCATCTGGAGCAGCTCAGGAATGAGCGTAAACGTGCGGAGATGAGGTGGGAGTTCAAGGAAAGACTGAGTGTGTCTCCATTCATCACACCAGGCAAACCCTGGGAGGAGGCCCGCAGCTTCATCATGAACGAGGACTTCTATGTGTGGTTGGATGAGGCAGAATATTTAGACATTTACAACAAGCACCAGAAGGAGATCATTGACAGAGCCAAAGAGGACTTTCAAGAACTTCTGCTAGAATATTCTGAGCTCTTTTATGAGTTAGAAGTAGATGCTAAACCAAGTAAAGAGAAAATGGGAGCTATCCAGGAGGTTCTGGGTGAAGAGCAAAGGTTTAAAGCCTTACAGAAGCTGCAGGCAGAAAGGGATGCTCTGGTTTTGAAACATATTCACTTTGTTTACCACCCAACAAAAGACACATGTCCAAATAGTCCCCATTGTGTCGATAGTAAAATAGAGCAAATATTGGGGTCTACTTTCCCTACTCGGTACCCATCATCTGAGAGCTCTCGACTGGACGGAGGAAGGGCTGAAAAAATTAATCTGGTAATTCTAGGAAAAGATGGGCTTGCTAGGGAAATGGCCAATGAGATCAGGGCTTTGTGCACTAGTGATGACCGCTATGTGCTTGATGGAAGATTGTATGAGTTGGCACTTCGACCAATAGAGGGCAACGTACGTTTGCCAGTTAACTCGTTTCACACTCCCACCTTTACACCTCACGGATGTCTCTGTTTATATAATTCAAAAGAGTCACTTTCTTATGTTGTAGAAAGTTTAGAGAAACTTAGGGAATCAACCATAAGCAGAAGGGAAAGAGATAATAGCTTGGCACATCTTCCACTTTCCCTCCTCCTTGTCACGAAGCGAGGAGTGGGCTCCATTGGAGATATTGGTGGAGAGACTGCACAAACACTTATCCATCAAGGTCAGCAGGTTGCTGGGAAGCTAATCTGTGCTTATTTAGATCCGGCATCCCCTGGTGTGGGTTATGCACGTAATGTCAGTGAGAGGCAAATCAACCAGATGCTCAAAGGTATTCTTGAAACACGCCGCGGTATAGGCAGTAGTTCCCCTCCCCTACCACCACCCTCCTCAGTGTTCAGGGACTCTCAGTCACAGTCTGGGTCTGAGGCAGTTCTGCGGATAGTGATGTGCATGATGTGTGGAGACACGTATGACCTGGACCAGCTCCTTGCCCCCTTTCTACTGTCGCAGCACTGTCGCCCTGCCTTGAGCCTCAGCAGTGGTACCACAGTTATGCTCGACCTCAATGTTGGAGGCCAGAGGCAAAATATTGAACTGTCCTTGCTCTCTTTTCATGCCTCCTTTGCCCTTCGAAAGACTGGTCTTGTCCATGGTTACATCACAGTTTATTCTACTCGCCGAAAAGCCTCATTAGAAACTCTGTGTGCGTTCTTATGTGATGTTCAAGATATCATCCCAGTCCAACTGTTAGCTGTTGGAGAAAGTCAGATGGAGCTGACGGACTCTGATTCTGCCAAAGAGCAAGTAAGTCAGGGAGATGAGTTGGCACATGAGATTGAGGCTAGATTCAACACTGTAATCTGTGGGCATGGGGGTGTTGTAGGTGGGCTTCACAAAATGGATCTTTTTCAGTCCTTCCTCAAAGAAGTTGTGGAAAAGCGCACTATAGTAGAAGCAACACACATGTATGACAATGTAGCAGAGGCATGCACCAATGAAAGTATCAGCCCTCGCTGTGGTTCTCCTAGTCCTGTTAACTTCCTCCTTGACTCGGAGGATGACATTGACCCCTCGCCCCCATACCCTCTCCTCTCAGAAGTTGGCACCCTTGGCTCCCACCTGGGAACTTTTAAACTCCCAGATTTAGATTCAAGTGACACTTTCTCTGTCATTTCTGAACTCAGTACTTTTGAAAGCAAGTTGAACAATAAGGTTCCTCCACAAGTCAAGCCCAAGCCTGTGCGAAAGGTCAACTTGAGTCCGTACATGGATCAGCAGGGTGGAACAAACAGACGCTCTTTACCACAAACTGTGACCTGGGCTCCGGGGAGTGAAGGAGGGTATGATCCCTCAGATTATGCAGAACCTATGGATGCTGTGAGTAAACCTCGTCCCACTGAGGAAGAGACTATTTACTCTGTTCCTCATGACAGTACACAGGGTAAAATCATCACAATCCGCAACGCTAACAAGGGCCACTCTAATGGAAGTGCTGGGAACGGCTCTGACAGTGAGGCTGACAGCAGCTCTCTGGAGCGAAGGAGGAAACTGTCCGCCATTGGGATAAAGCCGAAGCTGTACCGGGACAGGTCCAAACGACTTGGGAAATTCAGCAGTTTCAGGACTAGCTTTTCCATTGGCAGTGATGATGAGATGAGCGGACCCCCTAAACCTGAGGATGGAGGAGGACATAAGGACTCCATTGAAGAAATTGAAGACCCAAAAAGAAGAAATATTCTGAAGAGCCTCCGCAGAACTAAGGTAAGCTGCTGAATGATCTGATTTGGGAGTTATATCAACAAACATGAATGCCTTGAACAACACATGTGTATTTTTATACAATGCATTCAGTTTTATATAGGTCCTGTCAGAATAATTTCTGAATCAATTTATTATACAATATCTAATGAAACTATATATTTTTTAGCTCAATATTTACAGGGGGAAAAGTGTTTAGTCAGCCACCAATTGTGCAAGTGTTCCCACTTAACAAGATGAGGGAGGCCTGTAATTTTCATCATAGGTATACCTCAAGTATGAGAGACTAAATTGGAAAAAAAAAAATCACTGATTCTTACAGAATTTATTTGCAAATTATGTTGGAAAATAAGTATTTGGTCAATAACAAAAGTTAATCTCAATACTTATACTTTGTTGGCAATGACAGAGCTCAAACGTCTAAGTCTTCGAAAGGTTTTCACACACTGTTGCTGGTATTTTGGCCCATTCCTCCGTGCAGATCTCTTCTAGAGCAGTGATGTTTTGGGGCTGTCGCTGAGTAACATGGACTCTTAACTCCCTCCAAAGATTTTACATGGGGTTGAGATCTGGAGACTGGCTTGGCCACTCCAGGACCTTGAAATGCTTCATACAAGGCCACCCCTTTGTTGCCCGGTGGTGTGTTTGGGATCATTAGGCCCGAACCCCTTACGGGGAAAGGGCCTATTGTTTTTGCTCGAGAAATGTCAAATTCTGCACTTTGAGCCTTAATTTCACCCCCTGAACATGCATGAAAAGTTGTAAAATGTTGCCCAAACATCAGACCTGGTGAAAAATTTTATATTTTGGTGTTTATTTTTATGGGACTCAAAAAATGCCAGAACAGCGCCACCTACAACAGCCAATAGGAGTTTCAGAGGTCAAGTTTGTCGTAGAGCCATGAAATTCGGTACACATGTTCCTCAAGTCAAGATAAGACCAAAATGTTATCATGGCTCCGCCCTCTGACAAACAGGAAGCCCATAAATTTCACTGCAAAATGGAAAAATTATCCGCAATAATTTTCATACATGACGGTTGGAAATCTTCTCCTCCACGGCCGTTTCACCGATTTGCCTCAAAATCGCTCCACATCATCTCAACACATACAATACAATACAATACAATACAATTTATTCTTGTATAGCCCTAGGTCACAACAGAAGTCATCTCAGAGGACTTAACAAAACCATTGAAATCACCAACACAGGTCAGAGAATCAACAGTTAAAACACATGAAGAATATAAAGCACACACAGAAGAAAATGTCCATACATGTTGTAGAATGCTAAAGTGTCCTGATCATCACCAATCCTTTCTGTTGGACACTAACTGTCCAACAAGACCCTCCTGCATCGACAAGGAAAAACTCTTAAAAAACCCAGTGGGAAAAAGTGAGAAACCTTGGAGGAGAACTAGGGAAACCCACAGGGAGGGAGACCCATATGAGAAAGGGATCCGCTCCTCCGGACGGACAGGCTAATGATCTAGGACCTAAGCTAGCTACAGAACGTGGACCAGTGGACGCTGAACGTGGACAGGTCCGGTGCAGGACTGAAGCACTCCCAGGCGGGTCAGGCGGGGCAGTCCGCAGGTGTAGATGGAAGAGGCCAGGCTCAGAGATCCCGTCATCGTACCATGAAACAGACAATGGGACAACGGGTGAATAGCAATGAACAAACTACAGTCAGAATCCTAAAAATGCTAAACAGATAAAGTAGGAAGGAGGAGAGGATAGTGCTCAAGTTACCATACTTCTCCCAGCAAACTGACTCCCTATGCAGCTTGACTAACACTCTGAGGAGTTTAACCTTCTCCGAGTCTTACCTTCCTAGCCATATGCTAAACTAAAGAGGACTGTTTTAAACCTAGCCTTGAATAAAGAATAACATACAGCATAATATATAACATAATATACAACATAACACAATACATTATTGAATAATATATAACATAATACAGCATATATATATAAATATATACACTACATATTATATATTACCTAATTATATGCTAAATTAAAGTAAAGTGCTTTAAGCCTGGCCTTGAATGTGGAGACCGTATCTGCTTCCTTAACATAAATGGGAAGCTGATTCCACAGTAAAGGAGCTTGGTAGCTAAATGCTCTGCCACCAACAGTGACCTTTGAGACCTTAGGGACCACCAGACGTCTGGCGTTTTGTGAGCGCAACGCTCGACCTGGTTGATACAACACAACGTGTCTTGGAGATAAGAAGGAGCCAAGCCATTTATGGCTTTATATGTTAAGAGTAGGATTTTAAACTTTATTCTGTACTCCACAGGGAGCCAGTGGAGTGATTTTAACACCGGAGTTATGTGCTCCCTCCTTTTGGTACCTGTTAAGATCCTAGCTGCTGTATTCTGAACGAGCTGGAAGCTCTTCAAAGAGGCTTTAGGGCACGCTGCCAGTAAAGCGTTACAGTAGTCGAGCCTTGAGGTGACAAACGCGTGAATGAGTTTTTCCGCGTCACTTTTAGGAAGGAAATTCCTAATTTTAGCGATGTTCCGTAAGTGGAAGTACGCCGTTTTAGTTGCTTGGCTTATATAAGCCTTGAAGGAGAGTTCTTGGTCAAAAATGACTCCAAGATTCCTCACAGTGTTACTGGGTATTATACTGACATTATCGAGAGTAACCATCTGGTTAGTGAGGGAGTCACGCAGGCGCTTCGGACCGAGTAGGATCACTTCTGTCTTCTCCGGGTTGAGAAGTAGGAAGTTAAGAGTCATCCACATTTTAAGGTCCTTTATGCAGGCACTGAGCTTTTCTAGCTGATCTGTCTGATTAGGCTTCATCGACAGATAAAGCTGTGTGTCATCTGCATAGCAGTGGAAATTAATTCCATGCTTTTTAATAATGTTTCCCAGTGGCAGCATGTAGAGAGTAAAAAGAATCGGTCCGAGTACCGAACCCTGCGGCACACCGAATTCCACTCCAGAATAAGGCGACGAGTCCTGATTCACATTGACGAAGTGATATCGATCTGATAAATAGGATTTAAACCAGCCAAGGCCTGTTCCTCTAAGACCTATATCACATTCTAGCCTCTGCAGTAGAATGCTGTGGTCTATTGTGTCAAATGCAGCACTAAGGTCCAGTAGGACCAGCACTGACACTTGTCCATTATCGGCAGCTAGTAGTAAGTCATTTGTGACTTTGACTAGTGCCGTTTCAGTGCTATGATGAGCTCTGAATCCTGATTGAAAGACTTCAAACATATCATTTTCCTGCAGGTGGCAGCGGAGCTGCTCAGCTATAAGTTTTTCCAGGATTTTAGATATAAAAGTGAGGTTTGAGATCGGTCTGTAGTTTGTAAGTATTTCTGGGTCCAGGTTTGTTTTCTTCAGAAGGGGTTTGATTACCGCGGTTTTAAAAGCTTGTGGGACATAGCCACATTGTATGGATGCGTTTATTATATTTACGATAGGCTCAATTATCAAAGGAAGTATGTCTTTGAAGAGCCATGTCGGGACTGCGTCTAACATGCAAGTTGAGGCTTTTGAGGATGTGACCACAGAGATCACCTCTGCTTGGCTCACAGCCATGAATTTATTAAGGCACACTGAAGAGTCTAAGGCGGAAGTCACGTATGCCGCTTCAACCTGTCCACCACTAACAGCAGGAGCAACCTCCTCCAGCTTGTCACGGATGGATGTAATTTTATTATTAAAGAAGTGGAGAAAGTCGACACTGCTCAGTGAGCTTGGAATTTTAGGCTCGATTGCGCTATGGCAGTTTGTGAGTTTAGCGACGGTACCAAACAAAAATCTACTGTTGTTTTTATTCGCTTCTATTAAAGTTGAATAGTATTGAGTTCGAGCCCCGCGAAGGGCCTTCTTGTAGTTTCGGAGACCTGCTTTCCACTCCCTGTGGACAGGCTCCGAGTGGGAGTGGCGTGTACCTTCAAAATGACCAAAGGGATTTTTGATCAGTGAAACTTTGTTTGAGCAGCAGAGCGGCAAAATGTGTTTATTGGCCGTTTTTCACAACATTCTTTTTGCTCCTGTTTGCACATACACATTCCGATTTGCACAAAACTTTAATCCATGGTTCAACTCTAGGGTCTAGGTCAGGGTTTCTCAAACTGGGGTACGCGTACCCCTAGTGGTACGCGGGCGCCCTCTAGGGGTACGCCAAAGAATCTGTGAAAAAAAAAAATCTGTGAAAAAAAAATTTTTTTTTTTTTTTTTTTTTTAAATCTTACCAGGAAATCCCATTGAGATTAACTCATTGACAGCCATGGATGTCATTTGAGGACAACATTGTTTTTCAATCTTTTCCTGTCAGTCTGTGTCCCCTGTATCCTACAGTCTGGGGTTTGGCTGTAGGCAGTATTTTATTAAGCCAGCAGGTGGCAGCAGAACTCCCTGGTTTGGTCAAAGATCACTCTGAGCAGGAGAGACAGAGGTGAAGCAGACATGGAGTAATATAGTCAGGGTCAGGCTACATTTGGAGGCAGTTTGAGCAGTAAATGTGTCTCCAGAGCTGACAGAGACCATGTGGAGGGTCCTAGCAGCAGACCATGTGGAGGGTCAGGACAGCAGACCAGTGGAGCACCTCAAAAAAGCCACAGAAAAGTGGACTATTACTAAAATTATCACTGAGTCCACACCAGGAGCCAGCAGCAAAGTCCAGATATGGTCACAGCGCACGCCGGACTAAACAGACGCTCTGTAGATGTAACCACATAAAAACACACAAACGCGTGCATAAACGCACATACATGCACGCCCAAACACACAAAGACACACAGCATTATTCTGTTGCACTTATACTATAAGTATAAGTATTCACTTTGATTTATTGTCATGTATAGTGTTTATCATTGTAATTTTGTTATTCTTTGATTTACTCTTATTGACATAAATATAGTGCCACCTATCTGGCATAGTTTGTCATGGGCTCTACTTTCAATATGTACATTTTGACATTTTTTGGATGAGTACATTTTGAAATTTTTGAGCAACACTTTGTGGATGTGTGT